CCCCCCCCCCCCCCAAAGAAACAAGTGGTTAATAAAGTGGGTACAAAAATTGAATACCAAGGAATACTAGGTGATTTCTTTGCATTTGGCTATGCCTTGGTGGATGGAGCTACCCGTATCTGCACTGGTGGGAGATAACAAGTACCCAATTGAATAGTCGAGGTGTGCGTAAGCTGGCGCTAACACCATTATTGTAAAAAAAACACTAATGGATATCAATGAAAACTTATCTTCCTCATTTCTAGTTTTGCCTTTATAATGGACCATTTTAAACACATAAGTGATCGGGTCTTCTCGTTAAATAAATTGTCATTAGGTAATAACCTATCCGTTTTCCAACAGATATATGCGCATCTACTATTATGATAAAATAAACAGCACGACGAACTCTTGCAACAAGCCAAAAATAAAACCAAACTACACCTTCTTCATCTGTCGATACTGAATTTACTTCACAACCAGTTCTTAATTGGCAGCCTCCTCCAGCTCCTCCTTAACCTGCATTCAATGTCCCTATCAAATAACTCTCAACGATGATACATGCTTAACATATCAAAGTGAAAATTGGTAATTGGCTGAAATTTTCCTCAGGGAAATAGTAAAAACTTTGTGCCACCTTGTTTACTGATGTATGTAATCCCCATCTTACAGTGAGCAACTAAGAGAGACCAAAGAGCTTTAAAGAAAGAAACAAAAGCACCCTTAGGCACAAATATAATAAAACGATATATGTAAGCATTCAAATTCGCAACCATGGCCTTGGTCTACGCTCACTGAAAATGATATATCAGATATCTCCATTAGCATTACACATGTTGAATTGATGCGTCCGCCCTTTAGTGCAGGGTTTATCCGAACTCATAACTTTCGACACGGAGCATAAATTTATGTATAAAAATTCATTAAATTTCAACAAATGATAGGTCAGAACCCATAAATTTAAAGATATAACGGTTACAATAACAACAACCTAATATAATCACACCAGTGGAGTCTCGGGAGAGTAGTGTATACGCAAACCTTACGCCTACCTGGAGCAAAGAGGCTATTTCCGATGGAGAAGAGAGTTTTAGGGCCAGGACTTCTTTTTTCTTTTGTCTTTTTTGGGTTGTGGAGACAACTTAAAGGAAAGATTCGGGATTTGACTCTCATTTCAGTGAAATAATTTCACAAGTCTTTTCGTTCACTAAAGGAAAGATTTTTCACAAGAAATGACTCTCAATAATTCTTTTTAGATAAACGGATACACCACATTTTTTTAGTGAAATATACTACATTTAGCTAAATAATAAAGATACTTGTAATAGAGTTTTAATTTTATAAATCAAAACTAACATAAAAAGATAACAATAGAAATTTTAATGATAAAAGTAAGCATAAAACTAAAAGAAAAAGAGAACCGAGATGGATTATACTATATAGAGAGCTTTGTTGAAGAAATTTTTATAGAGCTTGACTTTTAAATTATAAAATTAATTTAAAAAATAACTTTAAATTTAAAAACTACTTTTAAATTAGTTGTTTGTTTTTACACATACAGTGGTTTAAACTCCTAAACAAAAGCTCGCTTTGAACACTCTAGATAATTGGGTTGCCTCACTCTTCTTTATCAAGGGTGTTCTATATATATATATNAATGATTAGTCAAATAAATGAATTGTTTTTGTTTATTTTGTTTGTTTACAATGTGTGTAATCGACTCGACTAAGTTCGTCGATTAGTTATATCATAAATCCTGCTTCTGAAAATGTCGACTGAAATAACCTGTTTTGAATGGATTATTTTGCTATAATCAGTTAATTAGTTATTGTTAATCAGTTGGTTCTTGTTTAATAAATCCATCAAATGGACGTTATATGTGTGTTGTTTTCTGAACATTAAGTTCAGGACATTGTCAATATATTGACAATGCTCCTGTTTGTTTGATCTTAGTTCAAAAGCTGAGTTCAGTTGAATTATTAGGCT